CTCGTTTATGCTTTAGGCATGAGCAACTATGAGGGTAAGGAAGTGCGTATCGTCCGCTCGGAAGGGATTCATCATATCTTCAGTCTTACCGTATTTGAAAGCTTCCTTTACTGGACTGACTGGGAGGCGAGTCGCGTGGAACGAGGTCACAAATACCACGGCACTAACCATTCGATCATCATTCGGAGAATGTCCCATCGGCCTATGGGCATCCGTGTCATGCATCCCCTACTGCAGCCGTCACGTAAGTAACGGCTACTTAGTCGTTAGCGGTTGTTAATGGGCATCTCTCGACTGTTCAGTTTCAGTGAACGCTGCTCACAATCCGTGTTTGACGTCGCGCTGTAGTAATCTCTGTTTGCTGAGCTCGTCTTCCAAAAGAGGCTTTACCTGCGAATGTCCTGACGGTTTCCAGAAGCACGGTGACGCGGAATGCATACACAAGTGCAAACCGTAAGTTTTACCTGCATTGATTTGACGAGCTGTTGTTGTCATGCCCATCAGGGATTATCAAATTTTGAACGACAGCTGTGCACGTTTTAACCGGAACAAGTTGAACTGTATATTACATTTATATTGGGTTTCTGCTGCAGCCAAGAGTTAATATTTATTGTCGCAGTTAGATCTGATCCAACTACCTCTGTTGAATTTAGCCTGATCGTCGAAGCGCCTGCTGAAAATTCATTCGGTTTAATGTTTCTACCTATCTTTGTTCCTTGCTGCGAACCTTGTATTTACTTCTTAACTGTACCCTTACTAACTGCACTTACTCTCTGAGCTGGAGATGACGCTACACTATTTACCGACTGAATTTCCTGCCGCTTATAGAGATCATAACGAATCTTCATATTGTGGTACTGGAAATTAGCAACATGTAGGTGAGAAGTTTAATCCACCAGTGCTGTCACGTCTGATAGGTTTACAGACAGCGCTTCAGCTTGGAACAGAAGTTAAGCGGTTAAAAACAGTTCAGAGATTAGCTGAACGATGCACTTCATATTCAAGATAATAGACACAATTTGTTTCGAGATCCTAGGATTCAGTTGACACAGCAGGCGGCAAGGAAGTCTTTATGTTAAACGGGAAACTTATTTCACAATGGCACGAGGTCTTTATGAGTTTTCTACAGTGAATGCGATACATACTCCATCAAATCTGTTTAGCTCATGGTGTATTTTCTCTCAACTGCGAGGCGCAAGTTTATTTCTTTTAGATCACAATTCGTTTGTACGCATACTTTCAAGTGTTTGCCACTTTGGTGGCGCTGCGACGGACAAGACGATTGCGGCGATGGTCAAGACGAGATGTACTTCCTGCCGAACACATGCCCGCCGTTCATCTGCAGTCCCGGTCAATTTCTTTGTCCGAATTCTTCAGTTTGTATCCAGCCAGAAGCGATATGTGATGGCAACCTCGACTGTCCTGATGGAAGCGATGAACGCAAGGAGAAGGGTCTGGTTGATTGTAGTAAGTGTCGTTTTGCGGCGTAAGCTTACGTGTTCATTGATTGCCCTAATTGTTTCATTATTCTGATTTAGGTTTGTACGAATGTATGACGGGCCAATGGAAGTGTCCAAATTCATCGATGTGCATTTCACAGATGAAGGTCTGTGATGGCGTCAAGGACTGTACGTTCAGTGAGGATGAGGACAACTGTGGTATGATATTTGAATGCATCAGTTTGTCTGTCACTGATTGTGTCTTAATTCGTGGGCAACGTTGTTTTGTAAAACGGACATTAAATGTGCAATCGTTATAGGGGTTAACATGGTAATTCACATGTCTGGCTTGTTACTTGGCGTTTCTTTACTGCGACATTGCACTCGCCAATAAATTGCGCTTCACACTCGGCAAAACATAGAATTTTCTATTATTGCTAGCACTCTTTAGTTACGGGATTCACACCCCTGACGAAGACCATTCCTGGTGCCTAGTCGTACCATTAATTATATCGTGGAAATCGTGCTCTGTTTTCCTCGAAACTGTAACCGAACGCATATGTTGCTCGACGAAAGGCACTCTACCGATGGCCCCTTATTGTTCGATATTTCTCATAATCTTGAATCTGCAGATTTTAGCTGCTCGTCAAACTTTCTTGTAAATGGTCTTATAATTTTTTGAAAATTTGCCGTCATGTTTATGATACACTCTTTTCCTAACCAGTAGTTTCGATGATGTGAAAAACTATTACTATTTTAAAAATGTTTTGCTTCAGTTGTAAAGATGCTTTGTTGATTTGAGTTATCTCCATAACTTACAGACCAATCCTTACATTGTTTTTCTATTCTGATTGTTTCGAGTAAGCCAGACGCTGCTAAGGTAAAGATTTTGTGAGGGTACGACAGTTTTATTTTTACTGACCACGAAACCTAATCCATGATCGAGAATCGTAATCCCGCGCGAGCAAATGGTCATTTCTCTGTGACTGATTACATATCCTTCGTTGAACTTGAATATGGTGTTTAACCAGCCAATCGCTCTGCTCTGTGCGATATTTAGGATTTTTTGATGGCATCTCACGGTCATAAATTAATGTTGTTCATCAGAATAGTGCGACGCCGTATATAAGCGACAGAAATGTGATTCAGGTGAATGCTGCTGTGATGATGGCTGACAAACTTCGTAACTTCACAATCAGAAATTCCCTTCCTGGCGAGCCGCTTCTCTTTCAGTTCTAGAAGTTGGAGTTGAACGTGCTGAAGATGCCATAAGGGTAACTCGCTGGACAAACCCTGCTCACAGAGTTACATGGCAGATGACCACGTAATAGACCGGCAGTCAGACGATTGAAATATATTGAGTGATCATTGCTGCGCTTTAAATTCTAGCCCGTAGAACTGGCCCGATTGGTGTAGAATAGGGTCTGCTATAGAAACCTATTGATGCTGTCTCTTCCGCAACTTAGAAGTATTAGCTAGATGTGGAATAAAAAATGTTTTGTGCGCTGATTCACACCCACTGACAAAGTTTCCGCTTTTTGTACCGTATGTGCTAATAGTGACACTCACGGCGGCGAAAAATACGGATACGTTAAACGCTGTTCTGGTTGCCAAACTCTGTCCTTGTAATAACAGATCCCTGTTTCGATTCATTACTCGCGGACTTCTTCAGATTGGAGTTGATTATGCTTTGGCCATTGACTTTCATTGCAGATCGAATAGTTACGGCTCCGTCTGTACAATAAGGCCAAATGAAAGGAGAATGGACTCAACCCTGAAAAAGGGTTGCGTAGATACACAAAAGTTTGTATAATCGTATCGAATGATTAAGTGTTTTATTCGTGCGTTGGTGTTCCTACCTACAATTAAAATGTAGTATAAACAGTTTATTTATTCACAACGCACGCAAATAAATTCGTCAATCGGGTGATTGAGCAATTCCGACGTTTCGGCTCGCGTCTCACTGGCCTTCTTCAAGGTGATCCGTGCTGATTTCCGCAGTTGATTCTGTTGTCCGCAACTGTTATGACACTTTTAGCCAAGGTGTGCTTTTGGCTCATGCTGTTTGTTAAGTTATTTTTCGATAACGAGCTTGATAAAGCTTATCCAATTCGTGCACGGTTTATATCCGTTTTTCCGGTTGACTTTTTCGAAGGAATGATAAATAAGAAGGCTTTATCCAAACTCTGCACGGATTATACAAACCTTACCAATCCCGTTACCGTACTTTACCAACAGCATGGGCCAAAGTCACACTATGGCTCGTGTCACAATAGCTGCAGAACTCATGCCCAGCTGCAGAAATCATCCCTGACCACCCTGACGAAGGATCATGACGGACGATTCGCAACGTCGGGTATGAATCAGTCACTCGATTGTCCAACTTATTTGCTTGCGTTGTGAATAAATAAACCGTTTTTATGCATTTTTCAGTTATCACCGTACCGTCCAATAAGCTAAAATTCTTCGTCGAGCCATGTGAAGCCGCAGGTTTTTTCCTAGTAGTGTATGTGTACATTGCTTATTATATATTACTCTGTTGGTCGTGCGTTTTGGAACAAGTAGTATTTAATTATCTTTATTCTAAATTCATTGTCGACGTTTCGTTTAGATAAAAGGAAGTGTCCCGCTGACTTCTTCACTTGTACCGATCAGCAATCGTGCATTCCAAAGGTGTGGATCTGCGATGGCCAGAAGGACTGTCCTGACGGAAGTGACGAAACAGAATCAGATTGTGGTATGTATTCACGGTTTTTCTATCGGAGTATCTTTGCATGATTCCTTCTTTCATTACTGCTGCGTCTACTTCGTTCGTAAATGAGTGGATTTCTGTTACGGGCCTGCAGGTCGCCGAAGTGATATATATTTATTTATATATTTGTACGTATATATATTTTTATTTATATGATTTCGACGACTTCTGTGATATTTTCATTTAGTCAGTTGTTATGCTTTAACCCTTTATATCACTGCAGTTTTTCTTCCCTTTCGCAAAACAAATTATTTA